GTGTACGGAGTCTTGTTTCTCAAAATGTTTTAAGAAGTTAATCTGCTTTTCATTGAAAGCAAAGAGCCAAATGGAAGTTAACAGAGATCTCATAAGGAAGAATTGTACTGTAGAATGATGGACCTTCCTTCTGTGCTCGTAAATTTATATGGAGAATTTAATGAGGTGGAATCCCTACATCTGCTTTTTTTTGTTTCTTTAAAGTGACACTAAACTTAGGAGTTAAATCTTAAAAATACATTCAAGGACCATAACTATTAACAATACTGGACCTTATTTGTATATCACTCGGCTGTAGATCCTCAAATCATCTCTGAATTCATGCTGACACTGTCCTTCCTTCTGGAGGGTGGCTACTCTTGTTCCCCATGGTCCCTGTGTGTGTTGTAATCAATTCAAGCTCGCTACTTTGATGGACTACAATCTCACATTTAGGCCTCATTCACACGGGAAAAGGCCGGCACGTACAGCTCCGTGCTGCGTGCACGGCCGTATCGGGCAGCTCCCGGGAAGGGCAAGTGCTGTGTGTGATTAGTACGCAGCCCCTGTCTTTCTGTATGGGACTACGCGGTCATACGCCGCCTTACGCTGACCCCAAGTGCAGGTCCGTACGGGTGCGGGTGCTCCGGCTCGGACGCATGCAGGGTCCATCCTGTCAGCGTACGAGTACAGACACCCGCACGGATGTGCAGGGCGGGTGAGCGTAGGGCGGCGTACGGCTGCATACTAATCACCGGGAGCTGCCCGATACGGCCGTGCACGCAGCACGGAGCTGTGCATGCCGGCCGTTTCTCGTGTGAATGAGGCCTTCGTTTACTAATTTGTATTGAGATTATAGTCCAACGCAAGAGTGATGGAGCTGTGGCTACTTTACAACACACAGGGACCATGGGGAGCAAAAGTAGCCACCCTCCTGAAGTAAGGAGAGTGTCAGCACCAATTCAGAGATGATTTGGGGATCTACAGCCGAGCGATACACAAATAAGATACATTTTTATAAATGGTTAACGTACTATAATGCATTTTTAAGATATAACGCCTGAGTTTAATGTCACTTTAAGCCTAAGTACGAGATGTACTGTATATGCACTGGGCCTGTGTAGGTCTGTATGTAGGCTGGGTTTTTAAGGACATACAAGCTTACAATGTACGGACAATGCAGAAGAAAGCTTTTCAATACAAACGCCATAAATGGGTAATGTTCTGTGCTGCATTCGCAATGCTGTACGTGACAGACTTTGTTAATTTAGCAGAAACAAATCCCTGTAGAATGCTTTCCACCATAGCTTGCACTAAACGTGCGGGATCTGTGCGTTTAGGGCACAATGGGGGGAATTCATAAAAACTGGAGCAGACAGAATTTGGAGCAGTTGCCCATAGAAACCAATTAGCACCTCCGAGAAACGGCCGGCCCGTATCGGGCAGCTCCGGTGATTAGTACGCAGCCCCTCTCTTTCTCTTTTTAGTTTGTTCAGTTAAGCTTTCATTGGTTGCCATGGGCAACTGCTCCAGATTCTGTCTGCTCCAGTTTTTATGACTTTCCCCTTGTATCACACAGCGCTGCATGCTAGGTGTGTTGTTTTTCCCATCATCCTGAATAACATGCATTGAGGTTACAATAAAATAGTACAGACATTACTTTTATTTTTACAGCACGTACGTTATTGTGCTTCCGTGCATTGCGTGATGCTGCAATGCACTCCTGCCAGGAGGTGCTCTGGGCTGCCATTTAGAATGGTGCAGTGTTCCAACACAACTAGCATGCAGTACTGTGCTCTGTGTAATTGCGTACGCTATACTCATGAATTCCACATGTTTAATACAACACTATGGTGTGAATGGGCCTGAAACTGGACCTTAACTTAGTGAAGATATGAAATGTTATAGGGAACATCTAGAAATGTTAATTTCACCTAAACAATACGCTGATGTACCTTGTGCCTGGAATGTCTCCTGAGAAATAGCAGTGTGCTTCCTAGTATATGACTATCCTGTCTGCAGTGTGAAACCTCAGCCATTGCTGCCTCTGACGGCTAGTCTCATGACTGCTCTGCCTGCTGTTCTCCTTGCTGGAGAGGAAGCTGTACTGCTAGTTCTAGTAACCTGTCTGTCACGCTAATCCAGGGGCTGGAACCAGTATGCAGATCAGGAGTTCTCATGTCACTTTGACTTTTTTGCTGCATGCCTCTGGGTCAGTAACTCAGTACAGGTACCCTTTAAAGATCAATTCCAGCCAAAACTGTGTGTATTCGTTTTGGACAAAGTCATAACAAGTTGACATATTTTTATTTGGGCCTGTTTCACCACTGGGAGATGTCCCTTCACATCGGGACAGGAAGCAATGAGAAACCTGTCTAGTGGGGACACACTGCAAGAAAACTTTTTTTTTAATGAGGAAAGATAAGAACCTCTGTCCTGTCAGATCTGTAATGTGTTAATGTAACTTCCTGTACCAGTGACAACAGCCCCTTACTTCTAGTCCTGCTATTACATGGACAGGTGAGATGAGTTATGGGGTCATGAAGAACAAAAACAGGTTTTCACTCATCTCGAGTCTATACATAACACACAGGAGTTTTAGCTGGTGTTGGGCTTTGTGTACTGTTGTATGCAGGCAACAGGTTAACACTGTAAAGATGAACTCCAGGGCTCAGCACTGCAAAAGCTAAATGCTTATTTATGCCTAGGGTACCAGAAAAAAAAAAAACGTACCTTATCCCTCATTCTCCCAGCAACTGGCGCTCTCCTCTACTCCCTGACACTCCAGGAGGTCCCTTGGTATCCTCATGTGCAATGCAGAGCTATTGGTCCTGTGTTGTACTTGATGAAGTCAGAGTGCCTGTGATCGCTGGAGTGCCTTAGAGAAGAGGCTTTGGGGGCTGGTCAGATACTGCGGCATGGGCGAGGGGGTTAGTAAAATTCCTTCTTGCTTGTACCCTTGACATAAATAAGCATTTGAAGAACTCCAGGCATAATTATTCTTAAATCTCAAGACAATAAAATCACTGCGCTAAAAAACCTACAACTTATACATAATAATACTTATTCCTAACCCTTGCAGTAGAGCTAACCCCGCACTGCAAGGGTTAAGTGCTCCTTTTTGTCTAGGGATTAAATAAAAAAAGTTATACACACCTGGTCCTTGGAGCCAGCTTGCTGTCAGACCGGTCCCTGGAGCCTCTCAACCCCTTCGCTGTAGCAGTCTCTGAGTCAACATTATTTACAATGGGAAAATGTATCAAAACTTGAGCAGACAAAACATTGAGCAGCTGTGCATAGCAACCAATCAGCCTCTCTCTTCGGTTTGTTAAGTTAAGATTTGAAAATGAAAGATAGAGGCTGATTGGTTGCCATGCACAACTGCTCCAGATTTTGTCAGCTCCAGTTTTGATAAATTCCCCCCAATGTATAGGACATGAGGACACCGAGGGACATAGCTTTGCTGCAGCATAGGAGGACACCGGCTGGAGGGACCGACCGGCTCCAAGGATTGGGCGAGCATGTCTTGGTTATTTTCCTCCCCGGACCAAAATGAGCACTTAACCCTTGCAGTGCATGGGGTGGTGCCACTGCAAGGGTTAAGATTAATTTCCCTGGAGTTCTGCTTTAACCCTTAACCCCCAAAGTTATTTTATTCTTTTCCATGAGTTCACCTTTAAAAAAAAAAAGAATTTCTATCTGATCAGTTATTTTATGACAGTCGGTACATTGTGAGTACAGCACTTGCCAGAATACCGTAATGAGAACATGTTCACTGACATAGACAGAGCACAGACAGCATTCTGCAGAATGAGGAGCAACAGTATAGATAATGGGTGAGATCAGACAAGAGATTTTCAATGCAGAGATTTTATTTCTACATGCCGTATTTATGGTAGATGATGACTTTAGATCACCCTTGTGTGAGGAGAGCAATCCATAAACATTCCTACACACAGGGGTAGACAGATGAATAAGGGATTCAGGAGTCAGTCTGTCCAATCCAGGAGACAGCAGGATTTTTAGGAGCCAGATCCATTGACAACAAGTAGAGAAATCCTCAAAAGTTAAGAGTCAGATGTAGTTTTTAAGGAGCATTGGCTACCTGTCTCCTGGGATTTGTCCAGCCCTGCACTACAGATGCGCATACCTGCGAAAACGACGATTGCACCCATTACGCCGCACATGTTACATATCGCCGCGAACGTCGGAATGAGAGCAATAGTTCTAGGGCCATCAATCACTGATAACACTAAACTGATGAGCGGTAAAAGCTTTTAAAGCGTCGCCTATGGCCAATTTTGGGTATGCTAGTTTTTTGCGATTTTGCGAGTGCGTGCAATTTTTACGCTTGACATGTTTGGTGTCTATTTACTCGACGTGACCCCGTCTTTTATATTTTACCAAAAAAGTGGGTAATATTAGTTGTTTTATAGCATAATGTAAAAAAAACTTTTTTTTCTCAAAATTTTCTGTAATTTCTCCTGAATATAGTAAAAAATAAAACCCGCAGTGGTGATTAAATACCACCAAAAGAAAGCTCTATCTGTCCCCAAAAAATGGTATAAAATTCATTTCAGTACAGCGTTGCGTGATGGAATAAATGTCAGTCAAAGTACCGCAGCGCTGAACACTGAAAAATGGCCTGGCCAGGTAGGGGATCTAAACACCTGGTCTTGAAGCAGTTAAAGCAGGACGGGCTCAGACTACAAATCACTCTGGGTGTCTGGCATTGGAAATCAGCTTATTTTCATAACAGGATCCCTCTCAGCTTTCACATATCCAACTGTTTAGGATATGTAATATATAGAATAGGATATGTATAGATATTCATAGGACCTGGCATTTCAAATTGAGACCAGAGTTTATTAAATCGCTGGTCTGATCTCCCTATACACGCTGCATTGGTTGTCACCCCCTCTGTATCATCCTATGCTATCATAGCAGTGAAATAAAAACCAGATTTTTATGGAGTGCCATCTAGCACCTCTCATCTGGCAACGTAAACATGTACAACTCACATGTCTTCCTGCTCTAACCTCTCCGCCTGCAGCCCATGCTGCACCCCTACCCTCTCCCAGAATCCTCCACTGCACACTACCGTATTCCACAGCTTACTGCAGCACTGGCACAACTGAACTACCGTGCTGTCTAGAATACACGGCCCTTATCCTCCAGATCTATATCTCTATAAAGAATACAAAATATTCAGCATTCCCCTTTTTAAAAAAAGCCGAGAGGAGAAATATGAAGTGTTGGCTGCAAATGTCAATGTAATAGCAGCAGAGTTTTTCTAACAACTATAATATTTTTTACTTTACTTTAGTTTTTTGTTGTTAGTGCTACAATAACTGGGCAGGAAGACGAAAATGTAGCAAAAGCAAAATGTTTCTGTATTTATTACCAACACAACTTTTATGTTATTAGAAAAGCCCTAAATATTTAGCCCAAAATAAAACAAAAGTCTTCTGACTGCAAAGATACCACGAGTGTACTAGAGTAGTCAGCCCAGGTTCGCACTCCCACAGCTACGTTTTTAATGCATTTTTGTGCGTTTTCATTTTTTTTTGTTAATCTTTATGCTTTTTTTTTTTTGGTAAAGCAAATTTTTTTTCAATAATGAATCGAGGTCAAACAAATATACATACCACAGCAACGTATGTCTTGCTGATCTGGTCTGTCAGTCAGTTTTGCAGTTTTGTAGGTGGACCTGATCGGAAGCCCAATGCAAGCTTATGGGCAGCTCGATGTAAACGGACAGGCATGTGTTTACATCTGGTTACCCCCGGCTCCAGAAACACAGACGGATCAGAGTTCCATTTTGCTGGACCTGATCATGCCAGATCGGGGGTAATCTGATGTAAATGGACGCACAAGTCCATTTACATTAGTTTCCCCATAGACAAACATGGGTCCAGTAATTCCAGTAGTTTTTTACTCCATCGCAAGAACAACAGTGACATCCCCTACAGTTAGCAAGGGATCCCCTCCTGATCGGACCATGGGAAAGGGGTCTTACAGTTATCATGTTTCAGAACAGCCCAAGACCACAAAGGACAGAGCAGTTCTCCATCTACAAGCTTGGAGACGAAGAAGGGAGCAAGGGATTGGCTTACCTTGCTGTGCCTGTGTGTTTGTGGAGACACACATAGCTTACAAGCACACACAAGGTGGCTCAAAAGGACCACCCTAAAACAGGATATCGGTGTCAGTGCTCAGGGGACCAGCTGATTTTACAGGAAACAAACTTTTCAACGTCAAGGAGCAGCATCTATTGTAAGTGATTTCATCAGCATTTGAAATAGCTTAACCATTTTGACTTTAATATCACTTTATGTATTTACTAAAGTTTTCAAAGGAAAAACAGAGAAACCGACATAATATTTACAATGTCAATCCACAATATGCAGCAATAAGAACTAAATGAGAGTGCCAAATAAAGGGTATAACAAATTGTACATTTTTCTATACAAGTGGCATAAAGATATAGTACTGATGAGCATATGCATGGTATGGCAAAGAAACAAGAAGAATCTAGAGAGAGGTAAGAGGAATTAAACTGAAGAAGGAAGAGAGGTAGAGTGAGCAATACAAGAGTCAGGTCTTTGATGAGTTTTTATGCATCATTCACGCTTCATGCATTTTTGGCTTTGGCCAATGACAGGCAATATCTCCGGTGACATCATTAGGCATCGTCTTTCTTACAGCTTCCAGCTTCCTCTATCTGTTGTTTGGCTGTATAGTTGTTCTGCAGTCTTGTGGCATGGCTGCTAAGCCAATGTTTATAGCAGCAATACTGCTGCAATTTTGGTGGAATCGAAGGGAGATATTGGATCCATCTGGTGATTACAGATAGAGGCCATTTAGGTCTTGTACAATCTCTTTGTCTCTCCATCTACTCTGCAGCCTGTGTAGGGTAGAAGTTGCTTTGGGGTTACAAAACCACACAAAAAGGACATGCAGCATTTTCAAAAATGTGAACCGGCACCATAGGACAAGATGGGATTCATCTTATCATGCAATGTTGTGCAATGCACAAAAAGCGCACAGATGTGAATGGGGACAAAAGTTCAAGTAGGTGTTCACAATGCACACAGGAATGAAGAATCTACTTGTGTACATTGTTAGTGTAACAATAAATTAACATGTTGGGTTTGTGCAGTCAGGAATTAGTATCATACCTTTTTCTGATTGTAAATAATGCTGGATAACTTTTCACAGTTACATAATTCTGAAAAGTCTGAACTCCCATCCATTAGGGTCATCCCACTGTACAGGAGAATAGAAACGCAAGGTCGTGGGATTAAGTGTATCGGGACAATGCTTAGGTTTATGGGACCACAGGACTTTCAAATGTGGCTGCTGTCACCCGATCAATAGCTTAAAAGGGTGACAGTGGCTGCTTCTAAACTGCATATTTGGGATCCCTGCCACAGGAATTCATAGGTTCCTGCCACAGAAATCCTAAAACACACATGCACAACTAGTGTGAATGTAGCCTAAAAGTGCAAGTTCACGGGACCATGGGTCAGTGACCCAGAACAAGCAGAGCCAAATAATCCACAGGGCAACCTAGGCAGTATAGGGCCCAGTGGATGTCCAGGGGGTGAAGCTACAACCTTTAGCAATACTCAACAGCAAGTCTGAGGGCTTTTGGATAGATACATAAGAAAGACTTTTACATGTACAGTACATTAATAAAATACCATAAATGCCTATGTAATCTTATGAACAGATTTTGGTTGAAATGAATGGTCTGATGACAGGGTCACCTTAAAGCAGGAGTGTCCATCTGCAGTACTCACATGTTGGGATCCTTACACAATCTTAGGCTTCCCTAATTAACAAAGAGCAGTGAATGAAGTAAGGTGCAGTTCACGTAATGGAACTAAAATGATGCTATCCTAAAATCCTGACCCATATTTTGCCTTCGAGGACTGGGGTTGAGCAGCTCTGATTTAAATGGAAGAACGGGAATCTAGGAATCAATTAAACCTTTGGCTACCTGGACTAAAATTAGCTGGTTTGCCACTGCTTTAGATGCAGAACGGGTTAAACAAAGCTGGATAAATCCTACTCAAATGTCATAGGCAAGCAATGAGGTCATTGTTTTGACTTCATCGCCACACATCAATCAAGAAAGCTAATGCGAAAATATTTCTGTTTTTCTTCCTATTTTCCAGATCTTTTTGTGAGAAAAGCAAGGCAGAAGAGAGCGATCAGTACATCATGTTAATTTTGTAGAAAAAGAGAGTCACAAAGAAGCCTCAGGATTTTATGTAATTATCTGCAGCAGGCTTCGGAATACGGCATTTAATGTGAACCAGTCAGCCATATTAATATTTCATATGTATAAGGCTATTATGTTTTTTGAAATTTAAAAAAGAGAAGCCACATTTTATTTTAATGCAGGATGCATGTACTCTACTCTTTTTTCCTGCATGGTGTGTTACAACTATTTCAGAAATTGTATAATATTTACTATTTTCTACTAATTTATTACATTTAATTCATGTCTGGAAGATATGGAATGCAGGTGTAAATTGTTTGTAAATACCAACATTAGCAGCTACTCATCATGAAACCCACCCTGTGCTCACTAGTGCAAAGCCTTTAGCTTGCTAGAATTACCTAGAATTGAATGCACTAGTTAATTTGCCTCCTACTGTGCTAAGTAGTATACATTTGAGGAGAAGAAAAACAATGAAGGAAGGGCTTAATTAGAGGATAGGTACACTGAAAAGTGAAACATCAGTTATGGCTGGCTGATGGCACATTGAAGCAAACACTAATTGCGTATATACCTGTGGAGCTCCTTGGTTGTTGTATACTGGCCCCAGCCCTTCTAAAGCTCCCCTGGGCTAGTGATTACAATACTTTTTGACTTTGGGTCAAATACTGCAACCAGGTTTCTCAACAAAAATCCAACATATGAGGAGAGTGAAAGGGGCTGACCTGCAATCTAAAGCTGACACCTAGACATTGGATAATGGATAATACTTTCCTAATTCAGCATTTTAGACAGATTATAATGCCTATAGACAGATTAGAAAACCTTGTCCGGAGTCTATATTGTTTCTATCTTCTACTTATAAAGCTATACCATTCTCTTCATCCTTCATATCCTAACAGGAAAATTGGTGAAACCTGAGAATTCCTGTTTAGTGACAGCGTCTGATTTACTAAAAGTATAATCCATGGTAAAAAGAGATATCATTGTACATCTGACCGTTCTCTGGTGATCAGCTTTATGGTGGCCACATGAATATGGTCATCTAATTGATCATTCTATGTGAGTAAGCTAATCAAATTGTATAAAAATCGAAACCCAAAGACCTGAATTCAATTCATTTAGTGAGCTCTTGAGCCATTTGACTCTGCCAAGATGATTGGCTGTGCCAGAATTTTGTTGATTGCTTCTTGTTTTGTTTTTTTTAAACTATAGTGAGTCATCTGACTCCTCTAAACATCCCCCCCCCCCTTACCTCTGCAGTTCTCTTGCTGAATATAGCAACGAACATCCAGGTAGACAAAAGAGGGAAACACAATAAGGAAAGATATATCACAAAACATTTTTCCTGGTCTATAATTGCCATAATTGTTAACACAGCCCTGTCTGCATTTCTAGAGGTTCTAGAGTTTAAGCACCTGTTAAGCACTACTGTAGACCAGTATCTTGCAGGGCTGAGGTCTCCGGTTAAAATCCAGGTTTGGCCAGGACACTATCTGCATGTTTGGTTTCCTCCACAGCCATGAAGATAGGATGGCTCCTGTCTAAAATTGTCCCTGGTATGTACGCACATGAGATAGGGACCTTACATTGTAAGCTCCTCGAGGGCAGGGACATATTTGAATAAATAGTTTGTAAATCGACAATGATATATAAATAGCTGTAATACATTTGGGTGTTGAGGCCTACTGGAGCCAGACACTACATGCACTGGGATGATCAATGAGAACAGATTCCGTTTAATGACAATTTGGGCTTTGAAGCCAAGGTTTATTTTGAAGTAAACAAAACAAAAACAAAAAACTATTTATAGCCCAGTATAATGTCACACTGAGGTTCATACTGTTTTGTG